TAGTGGTAGGGGCAGCAGCCTTGGTGGTGGTAGCGGCGGGTGCGGCGACCTTGGTGGTGGTAGGCGCAGCAGGCGCAGCAGCACCGGCACCGTTCCAGAGCTTCGGGCCCGGGATGGGGTAGCTGGAGTATGAGCCGTAGAGGTTGAAGTGGACACCAGCGTCCTGAGCGCTGAGGTGACCAGGGATAGCAACACCTGCGGGCAGAGCAGTGGTACCAGAGCCACCGACCTTGACGTGGATGCACTCCTGGTAGAATTGCGCACCACCAATGCGATCACCCTCGTGGAGAGCGATGATCTCGGGACGGATGATGTACTCGCCCGGTGCAACCTTGGGCAGAGTGAACTTGTGCTGTCCTGGCTTGCCAGTGTATGAGCCCTTGATAAGCTTGTCGACAGCCCATGATTTGCCGTCGTAGCCGTCCTCGGCAATCTTTGTCCATGACATGGAAGAGCCAGCCTTGGACATGTAGACAGTGATGGGTCCCATGTGGGATGGGTCGATGATGTCGTCGCTAGCGTCAGCGTTGTTGTGGTGCCATTCAACCTGGAGAAACTCGTCAATGCTTGTTACATTCAGAGGATATCACAGAGGTACTTACAGCAATCTCATCACCACCGTTGACGGCAACGGACTTGGAAGCCTTAATGTTGGCTACGTTGCACTCCATAGCCTTGGAGGTAACATCAACGATGGGGTTGTTGTTGGGAGGAGAGTCGATGTATCCGCCCTGAACGTTTCCGAGACCCTGGGTCTTTCCGTTCACAGAGATGCTGTAAACAGTGGTGTGGGCGCTAGCAGCACCGGCAAGAGCGAGAGCGAAGATGGAGGCCTTCATTTTGGACGAGGAACTTTGAAGTGTTGATTGTGTAGTTGAGTAATTGTTCTTATAAAGAGTGACTGTCTGAAGAGAACGACGAAGTAAAGATCGAAGAATTCAAAGACTGGAAAAGAACGTGTAGAGAACGAGTGTGTTGAGCGTCAAGCGTACCCCTTGAACGAAGGCAGGCCCTGTGGGCTTTATACTTGCTGAATCCTTCCATACACGGAGTCACTGTCCCAAGACATCGCCATCTCGCTTGGTGATTACATGTCAGTTCAGTGCTCCGCCTAAAACAGCCACCAGGAACGTGGCGGCGGTTAGACGTGCAGGCAAACATGAAATACCATCGTATCCTACGGGAGACTAGTGCTTGGAAGGGGCTAGAGCCGCCGTTAGAAGCAGCTGGGCCGTTGGGCAGAGGCTGGCGTGACAGGTGAACGTATAGCTATACCGTATGGGGCATGCAGGATTCAAGAGGCGGTGTTGCGACACTGTGCTTCCCCTGTGACGATCGGTTCTAGGTGCAGCATCTTGGGTTCTTGATTCAAGTAACATGAAACATGAGCGAGGACATCCCTTCGGATGATCTAGCGAAAATCCTTCTAGAGCCATCGAAGCCCGAGAGCCTCGGTATCGTCTTGCTAGAGGGCTCCTGACAATGAGAAAAGGCCGCTATACGGCGTTATGTACTTGACATGAAGTCGCTGTGACTGCACGCCTCGGGCCTGGAAGTACGTGGAGCAAGCATGGAATATTTCTAGCAACCCTCATCTCGGTCCAGTGTTTAGAACGCCATATCCGGCCGCCCAGAACAGCACTGAAAAGCGGCGTCAAGATGTTCCGTCATGCCGCAGACGCCCACGAAGAGTGGAAATGAGCGAGGGAGCGCGCGTCGCGTTGTCGAGAGATGTCCAATTTTTCAGGACACGAAAGCACCAGAAGTTCGCCGGAGAATTCAGTGTGTGCGCGTCATTAGCCTTCGTGTAGAACGATCATAGTGACTGTTGTGACGATGCTGTACTGGAGTCATTATGATCAGTTGGAGGGATTGTGCTGATCCTTGGTTGCCCAGGTGCCGCACGAGCCAACAGCACTTTCCGAGCCCGCGGCTCAGTGCCTTGGCGTTCACAAATCAACCCCGAGGACGGGACGATCGGTCCGCCCAGAACACAAGTATCCAATACATACAGCAGGTTGTGTGTTTCACGACAACTACTTCATGCAAGCCTCAGGGCGAAATCAAGGTGTGCGCTGGCTGAGCAGGAATGACCTCCCTCTTCCTGCGGTGACGCACCAGACACTCCAGCGAACAACATCAAAGCTATCGCAATCATACCGTATACCAAAGCATAATCTCAAAGACCAAGCCCAACCTAGGACCAGACCGCAGTCTGAGTCAAAGGCGCACTCTATTCTTTCTGACCTCCCTCTTCCTGGACGTTCAGATCCGACGCGCCCCTTGATGCACATCAGATGGTGCAAGGAATGGAGAAGGGGGCATCACGACTAGTTAGGGGGTGGTGATGTTACTATTCATTGTTCGAATTATCACCGTGTACTGCGTGGCGTCGCGATAGATATCGTGGATGACATCTAGCCATAATTGTGCCAGGTCACTGAGAGCTCTGCACGGAAGCAGCCCAGCAAGATCTTAGCCACCATCAAACCGCTCTTCACAGCTTACCAGACCATACACTTTCAATGAATTGGCTCTCCTTCCTTTCTTGTCGAGCGAGCTTCTGGTGGAGATATCACTCAACAACTTCAGGCCCAGTACAAGTAGGCTCGAAGGCCAGGGGTTCTGACTCCAGGGAAGCGTTGAGCGGCAAACGGGGACCGCTAAACATCAATGTGATGGGGCAATGTAAGCCATGCGATGTGTCCGAGGACGAGAAGCAACTCCTGACGTATGGGCAAGGACGCAGCGCGGCGCTTTGTAGATGGAATTGCGGTACGGCGAAAGCCGCGATAACTGACATAACGCATTCCGACACATAGGGGAACAAAAATGAAAGCAAGCGCGAGCGACGCGAATGCCGTCTTTGAAGGAATCTTCGGCTGTGAGAAGAGATAACCTCAGGAGGTTGGGAGGGAGAGCGCGGCCAGATGCGGCTGCGCGCCTTGGCAAAAAGTGACACCTGAGAAAACAATGCTCATGCTACCTTGTAGCCAACGTGGTTCCCCCGACACCAGACGAACGGGACACTCCGACATCACGAGGGCATAGTCCTCATGTCTAGAATTCAAGCACGGCTAGTACCGCAAGGTGTTGTCTTCGGCGGAAGGTCTCCCCAAATACTCCTTTTCTCCAGCCAGCAGCAGCTCAACCTGAGCATCTTTACAGACCTGTGCTTTGCTTCTAAGAGCTTCTTGAACAGCGAAAGCCGATCTCTTCTTGTTACATGCAGAAACAGATTTCCAGTTGCAGCAAGCGCACAATGATACTTCCATGTACCATGCTCTCACAGCACGTTCAGCCAGGAACATCGGGCATCGTTTCCGTCGACTTGACATCCATCTACGGAGCTTGTACACATGGGAACTAAGGCTTATCAAGCTTAACCAATGGTGTTGCATCATACCTACCTTGCCCATGGATCATCGAAATCCCGCCGAAAAGTAGGTGAGCCGATTGTTACAGTCTAAGGAGGGTGTAGTCGGAAGAGCTTACGGTCTGGGGCATTGTTCCGGGGTCTTGGGAGACTTCGAGCAGGCCAGGTTCCCGGGAAATGATAACGGCAAATATTAAGATTGACCGAGTAAATTTTCCGAGGCTGAAGTACGCGGGGAGACGAGAAATGCCAATGCACGCGACTAGAAGAGGTAAGCCCATGCTCTTCTCATTGGTGAGGTAATTTGATTTCTCCGTAGTGGTCCTACACATGTCAGGTGTTCGCGTTAGCACCACTTGCCACGAGAGGATTGCCACTACAATAGAAACATGTGGATGATCATTCGGAATCTAGGGACGGATCGCGCTTGACGAAGCTCATAATATATGAAGGTCCACTACAAATATCACCACCGTCTAAAGTCGAGTAACAATGCCATGGGGGATACCTGTTAGGAGGACGCAATTTGGCAAGTACAAAAGGTCAAACGGTCCGCACGAAGAGATGGATTCCAGAACAGCAGGGAGATTTCAAAACCAACGCCCAGCCGCCAAACATCCACCATGAAGGTCGTTTCTCTCATCCTTGGCGCTCTCGCCTCCGTCGGCTTCGCGCAACAAGCAACGCTTTGCAAGGACTACGAATACTTCTCCAGCAACGGCTACCAGCTCAACAACAACATCTGGGGCCGCAGCTTCGCAACCTCGGGCTCGCAGTGCACTTATGTCGACAGCGTGTCAGCCACTGGCGCCAAGTGGCACACCAAATGGACATGGGCCGGCGGAAAGGACAACGTCAAGTCCTACGTCTACTCCGGACGACAGATCACCAAGAAGAAGGTGAACCAGTACACCAACCTGGCGACGGAGGCCTACTGGGTCTACGACACCACCAACCAGCGCAGCAACGTCGCATACGACCTGTTCACTGCTGCGGACATCAACCACGACACGTCCAGCGGTGACTACGAGCTCATGGTCTGGCTCGCCAGATACGACGTCTGGCCCATTGGTACCTCGCAGGGTATGGTCACTGTTGCTGGCCGATCCTGGGAACTCTTCTACGGCCCCAACGGTGCCATGAAGGTCTACAGCTTCGTGCCCCCTGTTGGCCAGCCAATCTACAACTTCAAGGCCGACCTCAAGGAGTTCTTCACCTACCTCACCAACAACAAGGGCTACCCTGCTTCCAGCCAGAACCTCATTAGTAAGTTTCTCAGTGCTACTACCATGGCAATGCGTATGCTAACCTCCATCGTAGCTTACCAATTCGGTACCGAGGCCTTCACTGGTGGACCTGCTACGTTCACCGTGAACCAGTGGTCCGCTAACGCTTGGTAAATTGTCGTTCGCAACGATCATAGTAGTGGTGCGAGACACGCGCGATCGTCTGGAAGCCTGGAGCAGTTGCGTCTATTTGGGACTGGAATTGCAACCTTTCTGTACATACTTACACACTTTGGTTCTCAAAGCGTATATATGAATGAACATTTACATTTGCAACGAAATTTTAACATCGAAAAGCGAAGATCCTGATATGCATCAGGGTAAGAGGCTGCTGACTTCTACAAGAACGAAGCCAGGCCTATGACACCAGCCATAACGGCCCAACCCAGACTTCCCATCGTAGTCTTGAGCGCATTGCCTGTGAACGGCTGCGGCGCACTGCCATTGCCGTTCATGCCTTGCCCTGCAACAGCGATCGTGCTTGCACTCTTCTCCGTTAACTGGCCATCGCCACCCCTCAATTGCCCTCCTCCACTGATACTCGATGGATCTCCTGAAGAGCCCTGCACACACCCCATCGTGCCGTTGCCACGAAACATGCGGTCAGCAACACCCTTCCACACCTCCGTTACATCGGAGATCATCTTGCCCGTAAACCACATCCTGCAATCTGCGGCTTCATACATGAACTCTAACGGCGTACCGCTCGCATCGTTCTGTCTCAGGTTGTCTTTGAGGTTGACGCCGCCGGCGATCTGTCCGCCATTGTATGCAGATCGCTTGAAAAGTTGGGTTGCGAAGGCGGTTTTGCCAAGATCCGTTTCGTCCCAGGCTTTTCGTTGCTCGGGTGAGCCCAGAAAATAGACGGACTGCATACGGACTTGGATGTCGTCCCAGGCGAAAACTTGGGCGCCTTTTGTACCACCAACTCCTTGCATCGGGCCGGGCTGGGGCCGTCCGCCAACGGCGATCGTGCGTACTGCGCCTTGGTTCTTGAGTAGTTCGGAGATGATCGCGCAGGTTGAGGAGCACATGCCGTCGTGTAGCATGACCATGTCTTGGGCTTGGAAGGGCTGCGGTGTGCTGGTTTCGTTGGCATTGTCGTTGTAGCCAATTACTGAAAAGCCCTGGTATGTTGTGCTGACGCTGTCCGAAAAGTTGTACCGCAGCGTCGTGGTGAAAGAATCGTTATTGATCTGCTCGGGACCAAAGAGTTGGTCCCACCCACTCATGGCCTTGTTGTTGACATCGAGGATATGCTGATAGTTGAATCCGCTTGTGAGGGCAAAGATATCGGCTTGTGTGGTGGCCCGACCAAACACCTCCATGAAGGCGGTTTGGTTCGATTGGACAAAGGTTTTGTTGGCGAGGAAGTCTTGGGTTATCTTTCCAGCAGAGTTCAAAGCATCATTCGCGCGGAAGCGCGTGCCTCCGAATGGCTCCGCGACCGCCTGTGGGTATACTTGCTTGAAAGTATCGTAACCCAGAATCGCATTGCCTCCACCGTTGCCTCGTAAATCGAAGATCATCTTCGTTTTACCCGCTTTCTGCGACATCCTTATGAAATCTCGCATCGTGTTCTGAAAGCTTTGAGCATCAGGAGATTCGTAAGAGGGGATACTGAGAATGGCGACATTCTATATTGGTTAGATAAAGAAAAGTAAAAGTGTATGTGTGGCCTACCTCGTATCCTGAGCCATTGAGATAATATCCTCCAACAGCGAGATTGCGGTTTATCAGCTCAGCTTTAGGGTATCCAATATGTGAGGGAGTCGGTGTGGCCACGGGAGGTGCAGTTCTTGTGGAATTGCTTGTCGGAGAAGGAGCAGGAGCAGGAGCAGGAGCAGCCCGCTTCGGCCCAGTGCAAAACTTCTGGAAGAAAGCTTTGCCGCTATCAACACCAGTAAAGTTCCCAACTACAACAGCGACATTCATCTGGGACCAGGTAGTGCCATTTGCAAACTCAAGGGTTGTGTTGGGGCCTTGATACTGGCCACTTCTGAAGCTTCCAAGAAAGGTAGTGCCGGATGCGAGCAGAGCCTGCGAAGGAAAGAGGGCGTTCCATCGCGTGTCAGCGTCGTGAAAATCGGAACTAGCAGATACATTTGCGAGATAGTCCTGAGCGCCCATGCCGTTGATCACCTTGATAGACGATGGTTTGAAGGAAGAATCGGTGTTGGCTTTGATGACATCCCTGTAAGTGAATATCTCTGGGAGCGCTGTACCGTCTGAAGAGACAGAAACCAGTTCTGACCCAGGAGGTCTCTGAAACTGCATCGCTGAAGCAAGGATGTCAGGCTGATAGGCGAAGTGGTTGTCGTACGCCTTCGTGAACGTGTTGAGCATCTTCAACTGGAATTCGTACTCGTTTTTGAAGGTACCGTCCGCTACCTGCTTTTGCATAGTGTCCAGCTCGCCCATGATGTCGAGGGGCTTTTCGGTGTAGCCTTTTGGTGGGTTCTTAAGGTATGCAATGTTCGATTGCCACTTGACCATGAGCTTGAGGTCGTCGATCAATTTGACATTGCCTTCCATGTCGAGAGGTACGGACTGCAGACATTGTACTCCTAATTCCGCGGGCACGATGGGTCGGGCTCCCGAGGGTAATGCTGCGATGGCCATGCTGACAACCGCGCAAGGTTCCTGTCCAGAAGAAGCTGATGCTGAGCTAGAAGAGCTCGAGGCTTCTGTAGAGCTTGCAATAACGGTACTGTTTTCAGCTGCTGCCATCATCAAGTCCACGTCTGCCTGTGTCATGACCTCGTTCATATCGAGATCTGGGTACTCTGGAACTCCATACATCCATGGGTGTGGATTCGCAGTAGACATGCCGCAAAGAGCGCCTAGGAGCGCAATAGAGGAGCGCATCCTGATACGAGAAATATCGTCGAGTGTGAATGGTAAATTGTAGGCGCCTGGTTCTACGCTTCACAGGAAACTCCGAAGCTTAGCCGTTGATAAAATTAGGTATTATAAAGAGCGATCCAGCGCTGGTAGTAAAGTCAAGCTGGGAACAAGAAACGAAAACAGGAAGAACGAGGCCTCCACGGCGGGACCGACGAAAGGAGGATGGAGCTCGCGTATCGCAGCCATGTCCAGATGCCCATATATGAGGCACATGGTGCATTTGATATCGTACGGCAATGCAAGGAAATTTGGCCTAGGGCGTAGCAGCATTGCCGCGTTATCGAAACGTCTCGGTCTTACCAAGCAGTATGGTCGGGGAAGTCGAAACGCTGCCTTTTGCCATGCCTGACAAAATTACAGCACCAGCATACCAGAGCGAAGTTCTGGAACCACAGTGAACTTGAATTCTCAATGACAGAGCGCTATGTTAATGTCTATGGCCATTATTCTCGCATGGAAGATGCACGACTTCGTTATGCAGAGTATGCGGCGATGGTGGTTGAGGCGGACGGGCCAAGCGTGCGGTACACGAAACTAACACGAAACATCAACGTGCTGATGTGCTAAGCCTGACTCAGCCTAGCCTGAGCATACAATGTCTCGAATGTTGTAATGCGAACTCCGTTGCGAACACCCTGAATTAGTCACATATACCTCGGGCAGACATCCTTGTGGCCATTTAGATGGCAATAGCGGTCGAGCCATGTTTCCAGGTATTGCGTCTTGTGTGTGACTATGCTGCGCCACCAGATAGAATATAGATCTGAGGCCCTAGGCTGCCTCCGCATCGTCCTGATACTGGACTTCCCGATCCCATGCTTCAACTTTCGTGTACGGGCTTCTGAGCCAATCGTTCAACTCATGGAGAAACAGTTTGCTGTTCTCTCGGCCTAAGTGTTCCGCCAACAGGTTCTCCGCGTGCCCATTACTGGCCTTTATGTCGACCATTTTCAAGATGGAAACGATGTACGATAACAGAAACTCAGCATTGCTGCTCGTCGTTGCTGCAACAGAGGACGAGCCCGCCGGATCAGCGTGTAGGAAGGTGAAGACGCGGAGTTCGCGACGGATCCAAGTACGTGCTTTTGACTGCATCTCAGGAGAGTTTGCGATCACTTGGGGAGATATGTCGCGATATCCCGAGTAGCGATTGCTACCGATGTGTAGCGAATATAGCTGCCTTCGGTACACCTCTCTGCGTCTGCGCAGCGCAACATCCTCGATGGGTGGTGAATATGGACGACGCGGACCACGGGGTCTACTAGGAAGCCCGTAGGGCGCGAAGAGGGAGCCCGGTCGGTCAGTTCGGCTATGGTGTGTGTTTGAGTCGGCAGGTGGTTGGCTGCGAGGAACAGCATAGCTTTTGTAGTCGGTCGGAGAGCGCCAGTCGTATTGCACGGCGATGACTCGTGCTTTACCTGCATTTATCATTAGAGACGCTCTATAGTATGGAAGAGGACCACTTACATAGCGGGCAAGTCGACCGCTGCTGCAACCAGGACACCAGACACACAAAGTCAAATGTGTAGTGGTTGCATGGGGACGTGATGGCCCTCTCTGTTACCGAAGAGAGACATATTACGCACGTATCGTGTGATTCGCCTTGAGTCGATCCGGGTGTGCTTCCTGGCATGCGCTTTCTGGTGTCGTGGGGGGTTGAGGAATAGCAAGTGGCTTGGATGATGAGCTCATGGCGTCCGGAGTGAGCTTGGGCCAACCAAAAGTGTCGCGACTCGACGCAAACGCAGCCTGTTCGCTCAACATTCACCCTTCCACTCGCTGCACGTGTCCAAAGGTGTGCAATTCATCGCGGACCTCCTAGCGCCCACTGCTGCGTAGTTTTCGCGCTGGATGCTCCTGTGCGCTACCCGACGCATCACATCGCACTCTGTTCGACGCTCCGTACCAGACATGCTAGCAACCTCAACCAGGCCGGCCGTCGCAGGGCCAAACGGAAAGGCGACATACCACACTGTCACCGCGCTCAAAAGGTGGTCATGCGACGACAAAGAGCTGCCTGCCGTATCCGAGGTCAAGGCAATTCACATCTACGACTTCGACAACACCTGTAAGTCCATCGCGACTTCCTATACATCCAAGGCTGACTTTCCTAGTATTCGCAAGCCCTCTACCCAACAAGCAGCTATGGAACAGCGCGACGATCGGCCAGCTGGGCTCGCCCGACATATTTCTCAACGGCGGCTGGTGGCACGACTCGGGCATTCTAGCAGCGACGGGCGAAGGCATTGAGAAGGAGGAACCGCGCGCATGGCAAGGCTGGTGGAACGAACAGATCGTCGAGCTCGTCGAATCTTCCATGGCTCAGAAGGATGCGCTCAGTGTGCTGCTGACTGGCAGAGGAGAATCCGACTTTGGCGACCTCGTCAAGCGCATGGTTCGCAGCAAGCGATTAGACTTCGACATGGTCTGTCTGAAGCCCGCGATAGGTCCTGCAGGCCAGAAGTTCAGGAACACCATGGACTTCAAGCAAGAGCTGCTCAAGGACATCGTCTACACATACAAGGACGCGGAGAAGCTGAACATCTACGAGGACCGCGTAAAGCATACCAAGGCCTTCCGCGACTTCTTCTTCCAGTTCAACGAGGACCTGCTCAGGGCGCAAAACCAGGCGTCGCGCCGACCCATCACTACTGAAGTCATACAGGTCCCAGAGAATGCCACACAACTCGATCCCGTCGCCGAAATCGCCGAAATACAGAAGTTGATCAACGCGCACAACATACAAGTCAAGTCGGGCAGCGCCCCGCCTGGCACGCCGCCTTATCAGATCAAGAAGACCGTCTTCTACACCGGCTACATGATTCCCTCCGACGTGACCGAGAAGTTGACCTCCCTCGTCTCCTTACCTCAGGGCGCTCCGAGAGACGACATTCGATATCTTGCGAACAGCATACTCATCACACCGAAACCGTGCCCGAAGAGCATACTGGACAAGGTCGGCGGTATAGGTGCCAGGGTCAGGTGGAAGGTGACAGCCATCTCCTGCTTTGAGAACAAGCTCTGGGCTGCGAGAGTGGAAGCCGTACCCAAGGGAACAAAGTTCTACAGTGAGAACCCTGTGCCGACGGTAGTCCTGGCTATTCGCAAGAATGGCCGACCAGCAGATGCTGCGCGTATCGTGAACTGGCATCCCGTACCTCAGGATCAGGCATTCGAGTTTGACAGTGTTGTAGGCGAGAAGCAGATGTTGCGTATCGAGGAAGAGACAGCGAACGAGAGCGAGTATGAGAGTTACTTCCCCAACAAATCTCATCGCAAGGAGGACCAGAATGGTCGCAACGACAATTACCGGCCAAACCACGGCCGAGGAGGCAGGGACAGAGATGACCGGCAAGGCGGTTACCGTGGTGGCAACCGAGATCGCGGTCGTGGTAACAACAGAAACAACAACTATGGATCAAGAGGAGGTGCTCGCGGCGGCTACCGTGGAGATCGTGGTGGAGGAGGTGGTGGTGGCGGCGGCGGCGGCGGAGGTGGCGGTCGGGGACGTGGCCGTGGTGGAGGTGGACAGTATCGAAGTTTGGATGATGTCGACAACGGCTATGGGAACCGAAGCCATGACAACAACCCAGATGCTTTCTACTGAACCCAGGCTGTCGGACATCCGTCTCACGGGTCTGTTGAAGCTGTCAGGCTCACCAACCGAACAGAGCATCAAGAACCAACTCGACCGGTTTACATTTCGCGGGCGTTGCGGGTGGCGCCATCTGACTCTTTATTGTTAAGCCGAACTTCACACCATTTTGATCCGCTACTGTAGTATGTTTTGTGAATAAGATACCCGATTTCTTCGCAAACAGATGTGGCGCGCACAATCTTCCTTCGCCATGCATGTTGCTTTTTTAGTAATGTCTCCTTCTCGCTCTTTTTCCATTTCTTCGAGAGTCTTCATACTCTCTTTTTGAGGTTTTGCAAATGAGGAGGTGTCCCGGGAAGCGGGTCCTGCGCAACCGGGATTGGGTCGAAGCATCGCATAAAAGGCCAACGCTCCCACCGAGAGTGTTGTCTCGAATCAGGATATGCTCAACAATGCACAAGCATACTGTTTCTGTCTCCAAACTGATGCGCTCAACGATTTTATTTGGTATTCACCACTTACGGTGCAGAACATATCGCCCGGAAGGGTTGTATATCGATTTCTACACGGTCTCTCGATTGGTCGGCACTTGGAACAATGATAAAGGCGATCAACTCAAGAAAGGATCATGCTCCTACAAACATTCGATATCGCCAGGGCACGAGCTTCCGAAATGGCCGAGGGCAAGGCTGGCAATCGGCGATGACATCTCATCAACACCTCCCCCCAGGAACATTGGGCCAGTCAGCCCACCGCCAACACGACACGCCAGACTGTTTTCAACTGCCTCCCAGCACACATCAAGCCTAGTCCTTCCTGTAACCACCTTCGGTCCGTTTTGAACGGTGACCTGGGTGGGACGCAACGCCCGAAGGAGGTGAATCGGCGATCGCATGCTGGGCTCCTAGGGTAAATCTTGATTGCGGGTTACTACAACATTCCTCAGCTGCACGAGCTTAGTAAGGCGGGGTGATTGCAGAGTTTGAGGTGTATAAGTGCGTGAAGGAACGATGTGTTCGGGGTCGTTGTTGGACCCTGATCTCCCCTGCATTGTTGTTGGTGTGGTGTCTATCGTGGACTTCCTGTTTGGGCAATACCGATAACTTATTAGAGCTATCTGGCCAACAGAAACGAGGGTTGTAAGTAACCTTCGCTCGTTCACTTTGAAAGGCCATGCCAGCCGATCGTTAATCTACTCATCAAACGTCACTGACGGTCAAGCATTCACAGTACCATCAGACGAGTCAGACACGAAGATTACCCATCAGTCCTACCGAGCGCATCAACGGCGTCGAAC